TCAACATAATGAGTTCCAAGCAATCAGGGGCTACATAGTCAGACCGTGTCTCAAAAGCAAGCAGACAAAGAAACCAAACACATGCACACAACAAAAACCAAAGAGGAGCCAGGCTGTGATGGCTTAGGCCTTTAATCCCAGCACGGGGAGGGGGGGGGCCGCAGGTGGAGCTCTGTGAGTTTGAGGCCAGCCTGGTCTACAAGAGCTAGTTCCAGGACAGCCTCCAAAGCCACAGAGAAACCCTGTCTTGAAAAGCCAAACTAAAACTTAAAACTAAAAAACAGACAAACAAAACCAAAAAACAAAGAGGGCTGGGGACACTGGATAGGAATGGGATTTCCTTTTGGGGCAATGAAATATTCTAGAACTAGACAGAGATGATGGTATACAACGTACTAAATATACTCACCAGGCTGAGCTATTTGTTTCAAGATGCTCAACTTCAACTCAGTGCAGAGCACACACATTCACTACAACCTCAGGTGAATTTGTGAAAAGCTTATCAACGGTTAACACCCCAAGGCCAACTCAGAAGCACACAGGTGATGGAGCCAGTGTTTCTGGCAGTGGTGGCCTTGGCTGCAAACACACAAGCTGCCCACTTTGCCCACTGCAACACCACCACCAATGTACAGAGCCAGCATTTTCAGTGTAGTCTCTGCTCTTGGTTCAACTATGGAAAACAAAGACAGTATTCCCCACTGCCCCTCATCATGCACCAACTAAACATTTCTTTGGTTTGCAGTGTTAGAATATTTAACCATAAAAATGACTGTTAGTGGGGCAGCAACCCACACTCCTGTAAATAGCGTCATGAAAGAGGCAGCCTTGCCTCGAAAAAACAAAACACAAAGGGTGGTGGTACTTAGAGGCACTCAGCGTGGTCCAGAACTTAACATACCATTGCAGACTTTGCTACAACACAGACTATAACAAAATGAGGCTTCTCCTTCATCCCTGGTGATAGGACTGTGGCCCTGCACTCCAAGAAGGCCGGAAAAGCAACAAACCGGCATGTGCCACGAGCCCAGACCAACTTCAAGAGGTGAGTCTCCAGACCTATCTGAAGGGGCTTCTGTTTCGAAAGTCGGGTTTCTCCGTGTAGACTTGACTGTCTTAGAACTCGCTCTGTAGACCAGGCTGGTCCAAAACTTGAAGATCTGCTGCCTCTGCCTCCTAAATGCTGGGATTAAAGGCTGGCACCACTGTTACCCAGCAAGAGACCTAAAGCTCTTATGAGACTGAACAAAACAAAAACACATTAGCAAGACTGTGAGGGTCCCACGTGTGCTGTCTGTGACAAGCCTCACGCTCTCCTTCCGGAGGGACAGGAAGTCACTGTGAGCATGCTGAAGGCACATCCAGTCAGAGAAAAGAGTGAGAGCTGTTGTAAGTAAGAAAGTGCAAGGCTTGTTCTGTGGGGGAAAAGAGTATTAAAGCAGAAGGGGGTCCTCGTGGGACAAGGGGGGTGATTATAATACAATAAAAAACCAGCACCTTCATACAACTTTAATACCAATTCCAGGGCTCTGCAGCCCTCTTCTGGCCCCAGGGGGAACTACACACACGCAAACAACTAAACAACATAAACCTTTAAAAACCTGGGTTCAGTTCCCAGCAGCCAGCTCACAGCCATCAGTAATGCAGCTCCAGAGGACTTGGCAGCAAGGGGCTCTGCAGGCACTGCATGTGTGCGCGCTGGGCACTGTGTACACACAGGCAAACACTCAAAGTACAAATAAGTCAACCTTAAGAAGTTCTTGGGCTGCCTCGGTGGTGGCACACACCTTTAATCCCAGCACTTGGGAGGCAGAGGCAGGTGGATCTCAGTGAGTTTGAGGCCAGCCTGGTCTACAAAGTGAGTTCCAGGATAGCCAGGAGAAACCCTATCTCAGGAAAAAAAAAACTAACAACAAAAACAAACAAACAAACAAACAAACAAAAAAACAACAGAAGTTCTTGGGCTTTAAACAAGACTGCCAGCTTCCAGAGTGAGGAGACCGATGGGGTCTGAGGACATAGTAAGGAATGTTCTGGAAGATGTTTGGCTCCCTCAAACACAGTTGAATAAATCACACCTCAGGCAAAAAATAAAAAACCCACAGGCATTAAAGGCTGCAAGCAATTCCACATGTGAGAGCTGACCCCAACAGGTTGGGGCATATGAAGAACCTGCTTTTACAAGGTTATTTCCAGTACCATTGTTTAAAATCCCTAAGGACTGGAAACCACCTAAATATCCTCCCCAGGGGGACAATTTCAATAGAGCCTGTTAGTACCATTCAATGGAGTACTATGCAGCTGTATAAAGGAAAGAGGAAGCCATATGGTGATGGGAAGTTCTCAAAGAGGCTTTGTCTCTAGCAGGTAAATCAAGGTGTGAGATGGTGTGCTTACTTTTGCTTTTGTATTTTAAAAAGACAAGGACATCTAAGGAAATAATTATCCTACAGCTACTTGAGATGAGGCAGGAGGGTCAGTTCAAGCTTAGCCCCTCGATGCATCAGATTTTAAAAAGGTGGGACAAAGGATCTGGGTCTGGGCGAGGGGCCCCACAGAGGCCCTGAAGCAGCCTAGGAAAGCAGGCAGGTGTGGCTGCAGACTTGGTGCCTGCCTGTGCTGCTCCAGGCTGGGCAGACAGATCGGGTCACTATACTGCCCTGACGCCAGCGGATGCTGCTCCTACGGGTCTCTGGCTGGAGTGCTGACGGTGAAATACCATGCCAGCTACAACTTGCCAACAACTGGGCACTACAAAGGACTACTGACTCCAAACAAGGGGGCATGGCTCTGCACTGCACCGAAAATGAGTGTGCCTCTTACCAGGCCAGGAAGTGCAGACAGACTTCCCGGAAGGAGAGGGGAAGTGGCTGGCAGAGCTGGCTTCTGGGGAACAGAGTGGGACGCTGATAGCATAATGAACGTTTTGCCCACATGTCACTCACTCCATACCTCCCTGACACTGGGTCTGGTGGTGCCCATAATCCAAGCTGTAGACCTCTGGGCAAATCCAAAGCCGGGCTCCGCTATGAAAACATGTGTGGCCTGGGGAATGGAACTCGGTAGAGTTCCACCACTGAGTTGCACCCCCTCACTGGGGATTCTAGGCTGCACCACTGAACTATATCCCAACCTGAAATGAGGTCCAAGTTGCTATGGCAGCCCCAGAAACTGGCATCCTCCTGTCTCAAAGCTGAACAATTGTTTCTTTAATGTTTCAAGTCACCTCTCCCAGGGCTGCCAGATCCCAGGCTGGAGAGAGGGCTCACAGGTTGGCTAAGAGCACCATCCACATGGTGCCTCACAACCAGCTATAATGAGATCCGGTGCCGTGTTCTGGCGTGCAGACAGACAGAACACTGTGTACACAATCAAGAAATCTAAAAATAAAAAAGAAAGAATCTCCCATTCCCATGAATGGCGTCTGTCATTCTAGTTTCCCCTTATTCTGGACAGGGATGCTCTCATGACAACCACCTCGGGATACAGTTGGCCCCAGCTGCAAACCCCACCCGCTCGCTCGATGCTCTCTGAAGCTCCATCAGCCTGCGGTGCAGGTGTGTCTGGGCTCGCACTCACTCTGTGGCACACTAGCACTGCTCATTTCCCCAGGACACCTCACACGCTGCCTGCTTCACGCCTGGTCCCTCCTCTGGGGCCCTCCAGTGCTGCTCTGGGGCTGGCTCATCTCCCCACAAAACACCAGGCTGGGTAAACAGGCTGTCCCTGCCCACTATCAATTGGCTTACTTTTATCTTATTATAAAAAGCATCACATGGGACCCGACGAGACAGCGGAGTGGAAAATGGCGCTTGCTGACCATGCCTAAAAGCCTGAGTCTGACCATGGGGAACTCAAATGGTGGGTTGAGAGAGCAACTCCACAGTTGTCCTCAGAGCAACTCCACAGTTGCTCTCAGATCTTCCACGTGTGCACCATGGCGCACGCGCACGCACTAAATATAAGGCATCCCAGCTCCGAGGTATTGCTTTTTCTCCCATTCCTTTTTTCGCGACAGGGTTTCTCTGTGTAGCCAGCCCTGGCTGTCCTGGAACTCGCTCTGCAGACCAGGCTGGCCTCGAACTCAGATATCCTCCTGCCTCTGCCTCCCTAGGGCGGAGAAGAAAGGAGGCTACCACGCCCCACCCGTTCCCACTTTTTGGGCTTCCTGATACTGCCGCCTGGCTCGCTCAGGTGCCCCGCAGCTCCCGCACCTCTAGGTCAGGCTCGCACGCACGCCGAGGAGCCCACACTGGGACAGTCCCACGCGCCCGGCTCCTCAGCTCCAGGGATCCGTCACTTGAACCGCCAGCCCTGCCCTATCCTGCCCGCTGCTGCAGTTGCTCAACGAACCCTCCGCTGACCCCACCGGGCGTCCCATAGCCCCTTTTCCTTACTCACCCGCATCAAACAGCTTTTCCCGCCACAAAATACGCCGCCGTGACCCCTAACCCCTCCGTGCGCAGGCCCAGAGCTGCTGCGCGTCCGCTAGGCCCCGCCCCTGACCGGCTAGGGCGGGCCAACCTCACCCCTCCCCCTAGCAGATTCCACGCCCTCTCGGAACGGCCCCGCCCCCACCCAACTTGGCCTGAAGCCCCGCCCTTCATGATGCTATGGCCCGAGGACACGCCCCCAGTAACCAGACCAGTTTATTCTCTAGCGCCCCCTGCGGGAATGTGGGAAGATTGCCACGTGGGTGCTACCTTGCTGCCTACCGCCTCCCGCTTATCGCAGGGCCGCCTAAACTTCTTTGGCTTCACAAATAATCCCTTCCTGACTTGTTTATGACCCTCATGGCCAGATGCTCGGCCCCCAACTTTGAGAACCCGCCTCAGCCAGGGAAGTGTCCTCTCCCGTTCCCTCCAACCCTCTGGCCTCCGGTGCCTCAACCCAGCTGTGTAAGTAAGGACCCGTCTCCAGCTGTGCACCTCCCCACCCAGTGGTCTGAACCTAGACCAAAAGCAGCGAGCCACCTTCCACTTCACACGCTGGGCTCAGGGTTGGCTTGCATTCAACTTTATTTCCTTGTTTTTGTTTTTAATTAAATAAAAGAGACGGAGGAGGGGCCTGTGATCTCCCTACTGTGGGAAGACACCAGCCCTCACCTCCTTCCACTCAAGGTGCATGGCGTGGTCGGATGAGGTGTAAGATGAGTAGGAGGGCAGCCTGGGAAGGTCAGAGGCCAGGACCTGTGACCTCCACGCCTCCTGGAAGACTCGGCGGGTAAGGAGGGGCCTCCTGGTGCCAACTGCTTCTGGGCTTAAGGCTGAGCCCGTTAGGGCTGGGCCATGACCGTGTCCTCCCACCCCAGGATGAAAGGCGCAGCGTCCTCCCACCCCAGGATGAAAGGCGCAGCGTCCATCTGCAAGAAGATGCCACCAATCTGGGGCACGCCGGACAGCCCCTACTCGTGCACATCCCAGATCTCGGACAGCAAAGGAGGCAGCTTCTTGTCCTGGAGTCGCAAGGCAAAGACCTGCTCCGAGTGCACAGAGCTGAGGGTGCGCAGGCTCACCAGCTTCATGAGCATGCGCGGGAAGCGCAGCTGGTCCTACAGGGGAAAGGAGGCAGGTAGGTGCCGGTAAGGCACAGCCCTGCAAGGCTAGCTAAGTCTGGAAAGCCAGTACCCGAGCAGGCAGCTCAGCCTCGAACCCAACCCGGAGGCTGGGGCATCTCTACTGACCTGGTAACAGCTAAATGTGGCCGACTGAGACTAGGATCCGAGACGGCAGGCCGCAGCGTGTACGACCTAACCCCACCACCAAGCCCCGTCCCCGCCCCCCAGGGAATGGGGGCGCCCGTACCTGCGGCCGCTTGATGCGAGTATACGAGAGGAGAGCCTCCACGTAGGGCTGCTGCAGAGCCTCCACACGGCTGGGCTCCTGCACATTGGGCCGGTCCGCTGAGAAGATGTTGATGGCAATGAGCAGGGCATACTCAGCGTCATCCAGGCCCAGCCGACGCATGGCCCGAGAAAACTCGAAGATGGGGTTGATGAACTCCACCTGCAACCCTGCAAGAGGTCCCAGATCAGCTTCGCACCCTGACTCTACTGGTAAGGAAGAACAGCCAGTAACAGGTATTCCCTCCCAGTGTGGACCCTGTGAATGTCTGCCACATAGCAGCCATGCTACCAAGATGGCACCTCCCCCTCCCTTCCCACACACATCCTGGAAGGTCACATCTTCTCAGAGCCCAGAATCTGTCTTCATGAAGGAGATGAAAAGGGTCTCAGATATGCTATGACTCACTCATGAACCACTGTTTAAGTGTCCCTACCTACTGTGTGCCTGACCTTGGAGGAGAGTGGTTTACACCCACCCCACCCCACCCCACCCCACCCCTTTCTCTGTAAAGGATACAAATTCTAGGCTGCCCTGGCCTACACAGTGAGACCCAAGGAAAAAAGCATCAGAGCAGGCTCCAGGCAAACAAGGAGTTGTCACCCAGTTCCAAGCAAAGGATAGTAAATGCTCCCCTGATGCTGATAGGCATAAACTCAGAGCAAGGCAGCCAGTGGAGAGTCAGGCCCTGTCCTAACAGAGGGAGTCTGGGAGCCGACGGGCCGGCACGGCACCCTGGACTGCTGTAAGGACAGACATGTTGGGAGGGTGTCTGAGGACCACCAGTCCTCGTGAGGACCCAAGGAGGAGTGGCTGAGCCTGGACCGGGCAGTTGAAGAGCGAGGGTGTGGTGCCCGACATCCTTCCAGCCCCATCTTCCTAGGCCTGGCTGCCTGGGCTCCATGAACTTCCCTCAAGCCTGGCTGCAGGGCCTTTGCCCTAGGGTCCTTACAACAAATACTTTCCTCCCCAACACCTGCCCTGCTAAGCTCACACAGGAAGAATCCTGGAACTCTCTTGTATGGCAGAAGGGCTGGAGCCTGAAGAAGGAAGACAAAGTTGGGAATGGATGCCTAAGGACAGGAAGAGTCACTCGGGGAGAAGTGACGGGATGGCCAGAGCTGAGTGAGCAAGCCTCTCTTCACACTGGTGGCAGTGGCACTGTCCCGTCCTCAGGGAGACAGCCATGTGAGCTCTCCAGGATGGGGCAGAAACGGCAGGACCGTGAGCCAGTGCGCTCCACAGACCTGCACGGTGGAAGTCATCCTTGCTGTAAGTGAAGTCCTTCAGGAAGGTGATACACTCTGTCTCATGGTTGTAGCGTCTGGCCGTCTCCAGCAACATGATCTGGAGGAGACAAGGTACGGGCTCTTCAGCTGCCCCAGAGTCAAATGTGCTAAGTCCAACTGCCTGTCATTCCTCTGCCAGGCCAGACAGTCCTAGCTTTCCTTCCTCCAACCCTGCCACCCACTGCCCCACCCATGAAGTCAGGCTAGACTTTCGACTCTCAGCACTTAGAACAGGTCTCTGCACACCACTGACAATATTTCCTCACTCCTTGATTTGGCTCAAATACCCATCCCTTTGAAAAGTCTTGGGGGAATATTTCCTCTGTAACAGTTCATCTGATCTCATCGTCACTCTTTTCTCCCTGGCAGGCTCACTGGAGGCTGCAGCTATCCTGTGAGGACTGGAACACTCCTGCTGACCACACCCTACAAGGGTAAGGGCCTGCCTGCACTACATCCAACTCTGGCCTCCATCCGAAAGCCTGGCCATTACCTCGATGGTGGATGCCTTCAGGAGGGCGATCTGGTCCTCCCGGCCCAGCTGCAAGAAGCCTGGCACCTGCTTGGCAAAGTCCACAATCTCCTGGACTGAGATGATGGCCAGCTCCGTGAAGTGGGCAAAGCGCTGCTGACGGGCATCTCGGGACTGAGGGTCTGCACCCAAAGGCCAGGGCTGGGACACAGGAGACCAAGGTCACACGGGGACTCCTATGCCCTATGAAACCCTCCCCAGGCCGGGCAGGCTCTGCCCACTGGGCTGGGCGTGGCGCTACCGTGACTTTGGGCTGGTCGGAGAAGGAGCGTTTGTTACACTGCAGCTGCGCAGCAACCAGCTGCTGGATCATCAGCTCTTGCGCCGCTGTCAGCTGGATGCCCTCGCCGTCCCCGGAGCCACCAGCGTCGGAAGTGCCAGGGGAGGCTACCGGCCGGGCCGCGCTACTTGATGCGGGCTCAGCCAGGGGTGGCTGCTGCTGCTGCTGCTTCTGAATCTTTTTCTTGCGAATCTGTTCCTCAGAAAGCACACCTGCAGGAGAGCGGCTCTCAGCGCGGCCCGCCCTCGCTCACGCCTCCCCTCCGGGATGGCCCCTCGCCCCTCCCGCACTCACACTGCTCCCGCATGCCAGCCTCCTTGCACTTGCGCAGCCGGCACAGCTGGCACTTGCGCCGCATGAAGGCGTCCATCTGGCAGGTTCCGCTGCCTCGGCAGGCATAGCGCCCAGCCCCGCCATGGACCACGCTGCGCCGGAAGAAGCCTTTGCAGCCTTCGCAGCTGAGAACGTTGTAGTGGAAGCCCGAAGCCTTGTCCCCACACACGCGGCACAGCTCGTGGCCCAGCATCTTCGGGGCGGGACCCTTCTTCCGCTTGCGCTCCGGCTCATCCTCTGGCTCTAAGATGACTTGGGATGAGCAGAGGCCATGAGAGAGAGAGGGACAAAGAGAGAGCAGCTTGGGGACAGGCCACGGGTCCCGAATTGAGGGTGAGAGCACAGGGCTGCAACCCCAAGGAAAGTTCTGTAGGTCGGTGGGCCCCGGAGAATGAGTCAGAGGAAAACGGAAAACGGAAGGAAAAGCCCACCTGTCTCCCTATCTCACCTACGATGTAGGCAGAACTGGACCCTTCGGGGCCTGGAGGTGCATCAGTCTCCTGGCCCTCCTCCTTGATGGTTGGTGAAGCGGAGGTACTAGGCTGAGGAGAATCATTCCCTAGGAGAAGGGAGGGGGACAGTGAGCTTCTCCAGCCCTGTGGGAGGGGCCCTGTAGCGGAAGTGGGTTACTCACCAGGCACAGGTGTATCCAGAGAACTTGTAGGGGAAGACATGGTGGGTCACGAAGCAGCCTGTTGAACACAAGGGACCCAGCCAATTACAGGTCCCGAAAAGAGCCCTCCTCCTCAGGGACTCTCTTGTGATTTGATCCCATGCAGCCCAGGCTGACCGCACTATGTGGCTGACCGCCTGGAACATCTCCTGCCTCCACCTCCCAGCTTGTCTTGGGATAAGCGGCACTCCTGCTGGGCCCCTCGAGCGCTGGCGGGATGTTACAGGGCTGTGCCACCACACCTCCGTGTTTCCACTTCTCCGCTGAGCCCCCACTCCCAGCTCTAGCCCCTTACAAACATCTCGCCGATTTTAGCGACTCCCGCCCACTTCCGCTCAGTCCGGCCACTACCCTCTCCTCCCCCCATGAACGGTGACCTACCATGTCACTTTCCACTGCTTTAACACTAATTCCTGTTTTGTGTGCACCCACTGCGCCCCTACCATAGGCAACATTAACTTTGAGCCGCCCTTCCTTCCCATCAGGCCACAACCCCTACCCTTCTACCATAGGTTTCTTCAAGGCTTTGCCCCACCCCAATACAAACCCCACACTTAACCCTCCCTTCCCACTCTTGGGCATATACCCAAAGTTTTGCCCGCTCCGGCCTAGGCCCCGCCCATACCACTCCCAGAAGCCAATCATAGGCTTTTATATGTCACACCCGCCAGGCGCCTGCCTTCAAGCCCCGCCCACTTAACTCCAGGCTCTCCACTCAGGCTTCCACTAGTCCATGAACCGCCTAGGAGCCACCCAATCAGATTTCCCAAACTATGCCCCTCCCATCAGTGCGCAGGCCCTACCCTCCAATCACACTTTCCTATCCATGCCCTCTCTGTGCCCGAGTCCAAGCACCGCCCCCCAAATGACCCAGGCTCCGCCCCAAAGAGCAACGTCCACCGCGCTCAGGAATCTTCAATCACAGGATTTATCCACACCATGCCCCGCCCCATCTATGGCCCCGCCCCCGCCCACCAATCAGGCTCCCTCTACTCCATACCACGCCCCCGTGGAGACACGCCCACCTCACTCCAGACCCCGCCCCTCTCCGAGCACCAGGGGGAGGCGGGGCTCATGACTGCACCGCGGTCTTGAGTTGGTGGGGCGCGGGGTCTCCTACTCCGTTGCCCTGGAAACGGCCGCGGGAGGCGGGAGCTGTGGCAGAGGGAGGGGAGGAGGCGCGCGCTGAGCGGGACCGAGGCAGCCTGCGCCTCCGGCCCAGCCCCACCCGCCCCGCCGCCCCGCGCACTTGCCTCCGTGTCCGCACCGCACTTGCTCCTCCTCAGCACTTAGGATGTAACTTCAGGAGCCTGGGAGTAGCTCGAAGCAACAGCGCTGGCTGAGCGCAAAGCAAAAGTAACTTCGCCACTTCTTCCGGCAACCCCTCTCGCGTCACTTCCGGATATAGGCGGGCCGGGAACGGTGACAGACTTCCGGTTTGCCCGGGCGCCGCCGAATGAGTGGCCCTGTCCGGAAGTGGCATACTTAACCGGAAGTGTTTCTTTGAGTAGTTCCCCTCCAGGTCTCTCAGAAAGATGTTCAGCAAAGTTCTTTTCTTTTCACACATGACTAAGTAAGCGTGTTTTTACCTTTTTGAGTTGTGTAAAGTTGTCTGCTTTTATAGCAGTGCTGCGCGGTTGGTTTTCAGTTTGTGCTTTGGTTTTTGAGACAGATGCTCATATTCCAAGGGTGGCCTTGAACTTAAGATCCTCCTGCCTCCTGCCTCCGCCCCGTTGTTGGCGATAGCAGATCCACTTACAACCCTGCATATTGTTCTAAGTAAATTAAGCGGGGAAAGGCACTTGCTACTAAGTCTGAGGGCCTGAGTTCAATTACCTGATGGTGGAGAGAACCGACTTCCCAAAATTGTAAGCACCTTGCCACGCGTGCTTATACAAGCACACACAATGCATAAATAAATGTCATAAATAGAAGTTCACTTACAGCGGTGAACCCAAACCCAGGGTGCTGCGCGTGCTAGTTAAGCACCCAGTCACCAGAGCTACAGCCTCAGCCCCTCAAAAAATAAAGCTTCTGTTAGGTCGCCACCCTAGGACGAATGGCTGAAGTGTCTATTTAACATATCAAAGCCAAACCTGGCCACCAGGTCCCCCCTTCCCTCAGTCCCTACCTAGGACTGTACCCATGCCTACAGGGTATGACTGGCATACCGCGCCCCCTACCTGTTAATGCCGAAGATGGTAGGAGAAAGACCACTGACCCATATCATGGCCAAATTAACTCAAGCAAGCAATTAAAGCTTATTCTGCTGGCCTGGTTCAGTCCCAGATATCTCTGGCTGTTTTCTCTCTCATACCTACAATAAACCTCAGCCACACCAGAGTGCAGTCATGTCTCCATTTTTTTCATTTCAGTATGTATATACATATATGTATGTATTCATGTGTGCAGATGTATTTAATAGACAGTAGTAAATTGTCACATGCTGTTTAAATTCACGGAGAAGCTGGACCTGGAAGCAGGGTCTCCCCCAGCAAACCCAAACATATATGACTCAGTGTCCTGCAAGACCCCTTGTGTGAGGATGCCTGTCCCCTGGGCCCTCTGAGACAGGGAAAGGAGGACAGCACCAACCTGTTTACCCCAGTGTGTGTGTCCCAAGCTCTTCTGCAACCTGTTCTGCCCTTACCACCATGGCGAGCGATTGCATGAGCACTGAAGATTGCTTCGGCGAGTCCGTATTGGGAAGCGGGTAGGTCTAGCAGCTAGAGAAAACTGACTTCCCCACACTCACGGTGGCTCCGTGATGTGCATGGAAGGTCTGCACAGCGCGTTGGCTCTGGCCAGGCCAGGCTGTGGGTTGGTCTATCATTATCTAAGGTCTGCTTCTGCCAGCTCATGCTGGGATCTTTCATACTTGTGAGGTGGGTGTGTTTTGTTTTGTAAGAGGGTCTTGCGATGTAGCCCAGGCAGCTCTCCAACTCTCTCCTGCCTCAGCCTCCTGAGTGCTGGGGTTCCAGATACTCGTCTCCCCACCTGGCCGTGGGGGGGGGGGTGTTCTAAGCATCAGATGCTTGTCTGCAAGGCTTGCTGGCCCTGGGCTCTCTTAAATGTGTATGTATGAAGGTATGTGCCTGCATGTACTTTTTTTTTTTTTTTTTGAGACAGGGTTTCTCTGTAGCTTTGGAGGCTGTCCTGGAACTCACTTTGTAGACCAGGCTGGCCTCGAACTCACAGAGATCCACCTGCCTCTGCCTCCCGAGTGCTGGGATTAAAGGCGTGCGCCACCAACGCCCGCTGCATGTACTTTTTACGAAGGATCATCCAGTTATTCCACATGCTGAGTGTTTTGCTTGCATGTAGCTCCACGCACCGCCTGTGTGCCTAGTGCCCGTGGAGGCCAGAAGAAGGCATCAGATTCCGTGGAACTGAAGTCAGAGACAGTAAGCCACCGTATGGGTGCTGTCAATCAAATCTCAGGTTCTCTGTGACAACAGCCCACTAGTGCCCTTAACCGCTGAGACGTCTGTGTCCATCCCTGTTCCCGGGATTTCGTATCCACTGGGAAAGAGAAATAACAAGAGGTAACAGACCAGAGGTACAAAAAAGAAATCAGTCGGGCTGGAGAGATGGCTCAGTGGTTAAGAGCACTGACTGTTCTTCCAAAGGTCCTGAGTTCAATTCCCAGCAACCACATGGTGGCTCATAACCACCTTGAATGAGATCTGATGCTGTCTGCTGGCATGCAGGGAGAAGATTGTATACATAATAAAGAAATAAAATATTTAAAAAAAAGAAATCAATCAAGACAAAACAAGGTCCTCTGTCAGAGCAGTTTTGAGGGGCCCAAGGCATTAGGGCTACTGCATCCGGCATGCAACATGTGCACCAGGCAATCTGGCTTAGATAGCTGAGGCTCCTTATGGACCAGGTTCTGACCGATAACACATCTAATACACATTTATTTATTTATCTATTTATGGCTTTGTTGAGATTTAACTCACTGGACCATTGACCCATTTTGAATTTTTACCAAAAATGTAACTTTTTTGTGTTTGTTTGAGACAGGGTTTCTCTGTGGCTTTGGAGGCTGTCCTGGAACTAGCTCTTATAGACCAAGCTGGTCTTGAACTCACAGAGATCTGCCTGCCTCCGCCTCCCAAGTGCTGGGATTGAAGGCGTGCGCCACCAACGCCTGGCCAAAAATGTAACTTTTTAAAGAAAGAGTTTTCACAAAGCTTTGCAACCTTCACTATAGTGAACTTTAGAACACTTTTGTGATCTCACAAATAAATCCAGTGTCCATTAGCGGATGCTCTCAGTTCTCCATCCCATACTTGTCCCTAGGCAACCAGTAATCAGCTTTCTGTCATGGGATTGGCCCATTCTGGAAATTTCCTACAAATAGAACCCTAGAGCTTATCATTCTCTGTGCTTGGCATTATTTGTTCTTGAACTATTTTCAAGGTTCATCTATGTTGCCTTATGTGTCAGTATTTCTATATCTGCCTGTGGCTGTATAATATTCTATTGTGTGTGTCAGTATTTCTATATCTGCCTGTGGCTGTATAATATTCTATTGTGTGTGTCAGTATTTCTATATCTGCCTGTGGCTGTATAATATTCTATTGTGTGTGTCAGTATTTCTATATCTGCCTGTGGCTGTATAATATTCTATTGTGTGTGTCAGTATTTCTATATCTGCCTGTGGCTGTATAATATTCTATTGTGTGTGTCAGTATTTCTATATCTGCCTGTGGCTGTATAATATTCTATTGTGTGTGTCAGTATTTCTATATCTGCCTGTGGCTGTATAATATTCTATTGTGTGGCTAATCCTACATGTCACGTACTTGCCAGCCGGCCAACTTTTGGGTGATTTCGGATGAAGGCTACAATACTGCAGTGGACACCGAAAGGAATGACCAGGACACACCAAGTCCAGGCTCTCAGCACAAAGGAGATTTATTTGCCCTTACATTCTCATCTCCACTTTCTTCCACCTCTTCCAGGAGCTGCAGCTTCCTCAGGCCCACGTCCGGGCTACTGCAACACTTTCCTCACTGTCCCGCAGCTCCCTTTGGTCCTTCTGGGCCTCTGGCTGTCCCTCTGGTCCCTGACTGTCTCCTGCTGCTTCTCTTCATCCTTATAGCTGCGCTCGCTCTGTCCGATGACTGGCTGTGCTCGCTCTCTCTGATGACTGGCTGCAAAGGGTTTCCATTGCCATAAGTTCCTAGGTACCTGGCTCGCAGTAGCATTTGTCTAGCCTCTTTGCCTTTGCTGCTCACGTTTTAAAACTTCAGTTATTTAGATAAACTGACTCATACAAACTTTAGCATCCTAACTAGCCCAGATATGTTGTGGAATACTAGTTTAATATGTGTTACATTCCTTTATGATGTGGAATATTTGTTTAATGATGCAAAAATATGTTGCATTTTTTTTGAGACAGGGTTTCTCTGTATTGTTTTGGAGCCTGTCTTGGAACTTGCTCTGTAGACCAGGCTGGTCTTGAACTCACAGAGATCCTCTGCCTCCCGAGTGCTGGGATTAAAGGCGTGTGC